ACACCAGGAAGTCAGCACAATTGAGCAGGTTTTCGCCAGGATCTTGGTTTCTCTGTGCTCAACTGACCACATTTCTAGCTGTGACCTCAGGACCAGCCTCCATGATTGTCTGCGTTGTTGGCTGACAGCCCAATTTGGAGATCACTGCTAGGCTCTGCAGACAGAGAGACTCAGCCATGGGGTGGGATTTGACCTTTGCTTTCAGGCATTGTGGATGTGACTGCTTTGAGCCACTCAGCTCTAGGAGCTAGAGCTGGATCTCAAGCGCAAAGACCAAAGGTATCATGGACATAACCTCTGATACCAAAGGATTTCACTGACTCTTTCCTGCCTCTTCCAGGTGTCTCTAGGCCCTCCGTAACTGTGGTGGCCCTTTCGGGTATGAATGGCAGCACCTTGTGGTCCATCCAGCTTCCAGAGGAGACTCGGAGTGTGCAGTGCAAAGGGCTGTCACTGGGGGCACCTGCAGAGCCCGTCTGCCTCGTTACAGGAACATCAAAATTCCTTAGCCTTCTCAGTGCCTCCACAGGTATAAACAACTACCAGCATATTAGAAATACGCTACTGCTTTTTTGTTTTCTTTAAAGGACTAATAAGCATGAATGATTCAGGGCTGGTACTTCATGGTCGCTGTTATCTGGTGACACACAGGAAGGAGTCAAAACACCAATGAGTTTCTAGTTAGACGGATTAAGTGAATCCACACCATTGCTGGTCTGTGGCAGCATTTTCATCCTACCATCTCAGACCATTTCAAAGTGTTAATCTTATCCTGTAGCATCCCCATGGCATAAAAGATATGTAAGGTCTGTTCTCATCAACGTTGAGCTGTTAGTATAACTCAGCACCTACCTAACAGCCCTGAAAAGCTGAACACCATTCTTGGAGAAGTTATATAAGGATGTGTGCTACAGCTAGGAAACCTTCCAGAGAAATTAGGCCCATAGAAGAATTGATTAGATGTGAATGAATATGCATTTTTAATCACTTGGTCATGTGCACCTCCATTCTCTGATTGCTGTTAGTTCTACCACGTTAATTCACTGGCAGAAATATTCATAGGTAGATTTAGGGATGTTTTTGGAATCGGGACAGAGAGTGGAGAGATACAAGAAACCTTGGGTTTAAGTGACACATCCAGTCAATGAGCAGCGACACTTGCCTTTCAAAGGCTTTTTTACTTGCACAATGTTTGCATGGTCAGGACCATAGACTGTCTCCTTTACCTGCAGTAGTAGTGTTATTAATGTGTGCAAGTGTTTGCAGGTCTGGCGTTTGGTTTCCTTTCTCATGCAGGGGCAAACCCTATCCTACACAGCAGCAGCAAAGCATTTTAAAACTCTGATTGAAAAAGCAAAAGTCTTGGTAAAAGAATCATGGAAATGTAAAAGCATAGAATTACATTTTGCCTTTTTTGGGTGTTTATTTGCCAATTTGCAAACCAGGTTTTACTGAGTTTCCAGCTGGGTCCATGCTGGACTGCTGAAAACATGCTTTCACCCTGAGGTGGAGTGAGCATGCCATGCTGGAGTGGCTATTTCTGCTGGGAATTTAACGGAGACACAGATTCACAGATTTGCACTTTGAATATCAGAACTGCCCATCTGTTCCCTTTCCTGGCATCTACCTACAGGCTCTACCATTGACTGAGGAAAACAACTGCTGTCCTGCAGAGCTGCACGCTCATTTAGGTTCTCCATCTAAGAGTGAACCTCAAATATTCTCTGCTATTTCAGAAATTGTTTTGGGCTCAGGTCTTTCTAGAGAGATTCTAAAAAGAAACCACAGCAGGACTTGAGGCATGACTCAATGACAACCTGAAGAAATGCTGGGGGAAGAACGTTGCTTCCCACTGCAGCTTTCCCCAGTTTGTAGGCTTGTCTTTCTTCTTCTCAGAGAATGGGGGAAACAACCTGTTTTGCCCCCTCCTTCAAGAAGCTTTTGTGGAACTCTCTGGGGATGCCTGCTGGCAAGTTCCCCAAGTGCTGCAGGTCTCTCTCATCCTGTTCTTCCTGCAGGCAAGACCATCTGGACACTGAACTCCATCCACCTTTCAAGTGGGATCCTGGCTGCACCGGCTGCAACTCTTCCGGATTTAGATGGAGATGGGATTAGGGATATTGTTGTTCTGGCTCTCAAAGAGATACAGGTACAGCATATCCCTGCTCAAGGTTTGAAAGGACCTTGACTATCTAGAGGAAAAACAGAGAACCTGATGTTGAAAGGCTGTAACAGGAGCTGCAAGAGCCCCTAATTGTCATTCCCTTAGATTTCCATGAAAAGCACCATTTCCTTTCAGTAGGTCAGAGCAGTGAGATTAAGCAATAATGATACTACCTGCATGTCTTGTCAGCTGGGAATGAACAGAAGGGTCATTATTTACCCTTGGCTGAGACCTGAGAATTAACTATTTCTGTTTACTGAAGGCTTGGTTTGAAGTGAGTGTTTAGCAGCATAGGAGCCATGTTGAGATAGGTCTCTGGAGAAAGGAGCATTCACCTTATCCAAAAGAAAGAAATACTTGTGTGATTAATTCAGATGCAGATTTCTTCCATGTTCAGCTGTCCCCACAATTCTAGGATTAATGTCACTAGAGGAGTTCACTTTTTTGAAGTCCCTCCCGTCTTTGATGCATTTGCAGTCAAGAGAAAAGCATGACTCCCAGGAAGCCAGACTGAGCAAAGAGAGAGACCACTAGGCAGACCTTGTTGTGGGGGGAAAGAACAATGGCGCCTCATGCTGTGGGGACTGGGGAAAATTCTGAGAGCACAAATGCACGAAAGCACTGCTAAAAATCTCTACATCTCTGTCTTTGCAGCCTGATGTGTTTTTCATCTTGGTGTCAGGAAAGACTGGGACTGCTTTGGGTGGTCCTGTGAAGTACAGCACCAATGGAGAAGGGAAAGTGATTGGCCCCCAAGTCCACATTACCAGTCGGGGAGCAATCTACATCCTGTTTGGTTTTGGTAAGATGCATCTTGCCTCTCTAGCGCTTTGCCTTGCTGAGAAAATATTAATTTTACCTAAAATGGCCCAGACCATCCCTGGGATATTTCCACCATGCCTTCTGCTGTAAAACCTATGAGTAGAGGGCATGGGAACAAGTCTCGCTGCCATGGTGTGGAAAAGTACAGGAGCAACAATACCTGCTAACCTGGAATACCATGGAGATTCCCAAAGGTACATCATGCCAGGGAAGTTCCAGCTCTGGGCACTTCTTTACCTTGTACCACAACTGCAGTGGTCCCAAGGACCCTCCGTGCTACTAGGAAGCTAACTTTTTCAGGCAGAACTCTTCATCTTTACTCTTCCTGGCAGGTAATGTTCAAGCAGTTGCCCTGAGGGATATCTTTACCCAAGCCAGAAACCGGGACAGCTTTCCTGCAATGCTGCAGCAGGAGGAGCCGGAGTGGGAAAAGCGCAGATCTGTCAACCTGTCAGAGCTCATTGACATTTACAGGTAGGAGATGGACTTGTCATCTTGCTTCTGCTGGGAGAGGAAAGGTAGGGTAGGCACCTCTTAGCGCTCTTAGAGATGGTCCGTTCTACTTCAATATTGTCCTTCTTTTCATTGTCCAGTTGATAACAGTACCCTGGGGAACCTGTTGTTTCCCCCTGTCCTGTGGTTGTCCTAGTAAAAGAAGCGCAGAGTGTGATAAAAGGGAGTCCTTTGCTTCTCCCGCTCCTTTTTCCTTTCCTCCACCCCTATGCATATCTGGAGGAAAAAAAAACAGGTGTTCCCAGCTAATGCAGTTCCTTTGTGAAGCTCAGTCTATGTACAGCATTGTAGGCCTGGATTTCTCAGCTCCTTCTTTGTTGCCAAATTGTGGCCAAGGTCAGCCTGGATAGGAATGAAGCGGGGGAACAAATGTGAACCACCAAACTCCATGTTTTTTATAGTAACTCAAGATGTTCATAAGAGCCCACACCTGAATTTAGCCCACTTAACTGAGGAACCCCCAAAGGAAGCTAAGCTCCATCACCAGGGAAAAGATGGGCTTCTCCAAGAATAGTTCAAATCTTAGGTAGAATGAATTACCACGTGGAAGGCAGCTAGTGCTGAGATGTGCAAATACAAGCCTTGGAATCTCCTCTCTGCTTTCCATTTGTGCCAGTGGGGGTGTTGACTTCCTGCAGACAATGAAGACACCTGACACAAACTGCAGCAACTTGCTCATCACAAGCAAAGAGGGCTTGATCCTACTGGGGGGACAGGACCTGGAGCCCCGCTGGACCCTGGAACTGCAGAACATTAGCAGGTTACATACTGGGAACATTTTTCTGTCCTATTTTTTCCTTCATCACATCAGTGATATTAGTATTTAGAGAAGGTGTCTGACTGTGGCCCACAGATCTTAATGTTCCTTGAAAGTTGAAAACGAGCACTCTGATGGCAATCAGCATACCATCTCTACTAAATGTAAACCTTAAAATAATACTGTTCCTCCTCTAATTTCACACATGGAAATTAAGTAATTTGCCAGATCTTGTGGGTTGATAATAACCAGCAATTTCAGCTTGCCCAGTATTAAATATTTGCAAAGGGCAGTTGGGCACAGTTGAGGGAAATTATGTGGGAAACAAATTGCTTGCTCTGCTATCAAGAGGAAAGAAAGCAGCTTTCAGCTCAGTGTTACCTGACTGTCAAGAGCATCTGTAGGAAGAAGGCATTGGAACTTCATTAAGCAAAAAAAAATATCAGTGTTCAGCTAGGTTTGATATTCAGATCATGTCCACATTCTTGATGGCTGACGGGGGACATAAGCAATGGCTTTAGGAATAGCTTATGGCTAGTTGATCGTACTATGGGGAAAGGAGATGGACTGAAAGTGTTTTGGGCCCAGAGTCTGCAGGATTCTGGATGTGTCTGGGGTCTAGTTTAAGGGGTAAGTGGGTACTGACTAAGCAAAGCCAGTTTAGGTTGCTGTAAAATCAGTCATACACAAGTGGATGCACTAATGAATTGGAAAATTTCTATGAGTTCAAATCAAGAAAGCTTGAAGACTGCTTTACTTGTTTCATTCACAGAATGACAGAATGGTTGAGGTTGGAAGGCACGTCTGGAGATTGCCTAGTCCAGCCTACCTGCTCAAGCAGGCTCAACTAGACCAAGTAGAGCTCAGGGCTGTGTGCTCTCAGGTTTTAAGTATCTCCAAGGCTGGGGACTCCACAACCTCTCTGGGCAACTACTCTTCCAGGTTGCCGCACTCCAGCCCAGTTTTTTCTGGTTCTGTGACCTGCCAAGGAACAGAGTACAACACGTGTACAGAAGCTGCTAGATGATTTGAAATTGAATTGAAAAATAATGAAAGCAATTCTTGTTCAAGGCCACTGTACTAAAGTCCTGGGTTGCCTGTTTTCTCGGAGTTAAGAGAGACAGAATCTGGTAGACCAAATATATTGTGGACAAGCATTTATTTAAGAGGGTATTTTTTTTAGGACTTAGAGAAGTTCTGCGTAAGCAACACAGGCTGAGGGACAATTTCAGCTCGGGGGTGTCACTAGATAGTCAAACAGACCCAAACCCAGTTCCTCATCAGACAAAGCTTACAGAGCTAGATGAGCTCCCCTTTTCCTGGGTAAACCTGCCCCAAGCACACCACTCCAGCCAGGCAGACTGAGTCCAGCCCTTTGGGAACAGTCTCCAAGCAAAACCAACCTGATTGCTGCAGATGTGCTGCATTTCCAGATAGCTTATGACAAGATCCCTGGAAAACCATAAAGGAGAATCAGTAGTCATAAAACAAGGGCGAAGTTCAGAGACCATGAAATTGAGTAAGCAGTTGAAAATTGTGTTGTAAATGGATGTTTCAGATGAGAGAGGATTAATAGCAGGTTGCTGCGGGGATTACTGTTAGACAGGAAGAATTACTAGCCTTCTGGTTCATTTGAGAAAGTGCCAAGGGGATTTTTCAGTTGATTGGTAGCATCTAAAATACATATGCCTGCCTGCATTCAGTTTGTGGGATCTGCCACTGACTGTAACCCATAAGGGACATGAGAAGAGGCATCTTAGGAGAGCTTTAAAGTTTATGCCGATAGGATAGAACTACCTCCTAGTTCCTTTTGCTACTGGAGAGCTTTCAAGCTATAGGAGTGTCCCGTGATACTGCCTTGAAAGCATTGGTTCTGGTTGCCAAAGGTGTTTGTAAAGCGAATGGCATTGTTTGATACAGTAAGTATAAATAGTCAAGCCGCAGCTCTACTGTGGCATTGCTATTTAGCAGCCATTCTGGTATGCACATTTTAAAGGAGAAGCTGGAAAAAATTGAAGAAAAGGGCTAGAAAAAATGCTTTAACATGGAAGGTTTATATGGTCAAAGGGAAGCCTGAGAGGTGAGTTCATAAGCATGTGTAGTAATAGGAGCTAAGGGGCATTTTAATCTTGCCTAGCAAGAACAAGTGCCTTGGAGCAAAAGCCATTCGTGTTCAAGAAAATGAAAATGCAGGCATGTTTCTTTGGGTGAGATTAATCATTAGAACTGACTGTCATGAGAAGTGATGAATTAATCTCATCTTTGTATTTCCGTAGCAAGCCTCATGGCTGGTAGACCTAGTCAAAGTCAGCCTACTGATACTTGGTTGATTGGGTGAAATACAGCAATCAGTCATAAACAAGAGGAGGGAGGACATATTCTGATGATCTTGCCTTGCCATAAAATCTCTGATTCTGTGAATTTTGAGGAATCGTTTGTGCTTATTTAGAACCTTGTGTCTAGCTGCGGTGAATTTAAGGCAGACAGAGATAAGACTTAGAAAGCCAAAGGCAAGCAAGATGGCTAGAAAACAGTTATTATGAGAGATATTCAAGTAATAGTGTTAATGTCACCCAAAAGGGACAGGATGAGAGGGGACTTCATTTAAGCTGTTGAAGGTTATGAAAAGGCTTGTAAAACTGCCAGCAATAAGAAAACAAAGAATTATGGGCTGACATTAATGGTGAGTATATTAAGAGCTGTTTCACACAGCTAAAGCAGCCTGGGCAATACACTTTCAGCAGATCAAATCTGGTGATGCATTTTGAAAAGGCTGGGTAATTTTTTATGACCATAGCAAAACTGTACAAGTTCTCATGCTAAGGAAAGAATAATACAGGGTCATGTCACAGGGTGATAAACAGATGTCTACACAGCCCAGCAAGGGATGCCCCCCACACAGAAGAATGGCTAACAAGAATTATGGGCTGCTTGATCATTTTTCACTTTTCTGATCCACCAACAAATGGTTCCTGAAAGTCAGAACAGTTCTGAGTGGATGAAAGATCTTATTTAGCATGGCAAATCCTGCTTTTTTTAAGAGGCAGAATGGAGAATGAAAGCAACTGTGCTGTCTCCATCTGAAATCCCTGTTTTTCTGCCATGGGGTTGAGTGTTTCTTTTTCCAAATTTGCAGCCAGCCTGTACCAGGTTACTTCGGTGCTGACCAAACTCTGGACTTCATGCTGCAAGCACAGACTGGCGATGGGAACAAAAAGGTAAAACAAGTGTGAAAGCAAGGAAGTTAGTGGCAGCATAGGAGTGAGGGAGGTTGGGTAGAAAGGGACAATCATTCCCTGCTCTTCGCTCTTCCCGTTTCTGTGGCTGACACTCATCACTGTGTGGCCACAGGCAACAGAGACCATGCCACTGCAAGGGGGCTCTCTGTATGCCCACACCTGGACGCCTGTTAATGCTAGATCTCTTCCCTGCCTTGAGGTGGTGGTGATAGATGGCAAGTCCGGCCTCCCGGTTTGGAACCAGGAACTCCCATGGCAGAAGCAACAGCTTGATGCACTGTCAGTCATGACTTTGGATAAGAAGTCTGTTTTTCTCTTCTGGGCTGATGAAGCACAGCCTGTGTTACAAAGTTTGGTGAGCAAGCATCCTTTCTTCACTTCGAGGTTTCTCTGGGAGGCACATGCAGTCTCTGTCTTTTATTCCTAATGTAATTGAATTTTAAACCTGCCATATAAGAAGGCTGTCAGGGACATCTTTTCCTCTTGCCTTGAAACTCTGACTTCTCTGAGCCTGAACACAGGAGTTTTTGTGTTCAGATTCTTCACCAGAAAGCTTTACTGACACAAAACCAAAACTTTCTGTGTGAATTTCGTTTTTCTCTGCAACACTGAGATACTTTTACTGCAGATTTATTCCCAGCCCCAGAGTGCTGCTTCTCTGCATGCAGGCACACAAGTCAGCATGGAGACTCAAACTTCCAGACTGTAGTTTCACCCATCAAGCTGGCTTTGACAGCCAGATCTCAACCTTGCCAAACAGAAGTTGTGGAGCAAACTCTGTTTTAGAAAAAAAAATTTTGCAGGATTTCATCTCTGTAAAACCACAGAGTTTTTGATTCTGTGATCTATGTGAAGACAATGCAGTGTCAGAAAACTTATTTCTTTGGCAAAGCTAAACTCCTCGTTGCTAGCCAGCTGTAACATTTTTGTCTGTCTTTCGTTCCAACAGCAACCTGGTCCCCGACCTGAGCGCCCAGGGCTGCACCACCTCTATCTCCTCCATCCAGTTTTTCCTACAGTCCTTTTGGACCTCACCAATGCCACAGACAAAGTCATTGCTTCAGCAGGTGAGTAAAAATACAGGAGAAACTACCTAGGCTAAAACAAATATTGAGGGAGAGGCAGCTGTGAGAGGCAATGGGGAGTAGTTGTGCCTTTAAAGTTAGCACCTGAGGTTCACCACACATAGGCCATGGGAAGTAAGATTCATCTTCCTCCTGAAGGAAGGTCCCATCGAATCCCTACTGTGCAAATAAAAGACCCACCAGGTTTCTTGCACATGTTTAAGCAAGGAAAGGTCCAAGTTTGATTTCATGCATGTTTTACATCAGAGAAGTTCCCTGACTTTCCATGGGTCTTATGATTTAAGGCAGTGCATGAAGAATCACTATGAAACCTCTGTCACCTCAGATACGCTTCTGCCTTTGTTGGCCATCTTCTCCTTGTCTCTGGGATAGCAGCTGTGCTGCTTCTTCCTCTTTCTTTTTGAAAGGGGGAATCCAAAATATTTAAACATGTGTTTTCTGGGAAAAGTAGATCTGGATTTAACATCTATACAAGACTGTACAGTCCCTGTCGGATTTCCTTGCTCTTTCGAAAGCAGTTCAACCAACAGCCAGCCTGTTGAGCATGGCAGGATGTGGGATAAAAGATCAGTTCATCCAGTACAGAGTCCAGTAGGTCAGGAAGCATAGAAAAGCTGCTACATAGTGCTACATCTAATTGGATTTGTATCAGAAACACCGCTCAGTCAAGAGCAAATAGAATATCATTTTTAGAGGGGTTTGCTAGAAACTAGGACTTCTGACGTCTGTACAGATCATTTTGCAGTAACTGAAGAGAACTGATTTGCCCATGCTTTACCTGTTTCCCCTTCTCTAGAGGTAAAACAATATCTGCTAACAGGTGTGACAAGGAAAGCTCTCTGAAAGGGAACCGCATTATTGAAATATGTGCATCTCCTATATCAAGCTCATAATCATCACTTGGAACCAAATCCTTCCATTTCTGATCTAAATTTCAGTTTATTTCCATGGAAAATTTTAAACTTAAAATCATTCTCCCTGATTAACTAAGATACATGCAATTGTAAAGTCAGACTGAATATACCCTCAGTCCAGTGGATGTTTTGACTGAGTAAAGACTGTAAGATTTCTTTTGGGAGAAACGTAATCATTTACTCCTCACCAATATTTTCTCTCCTTTTTCTGATGGACCAGTTGGAATTAATGATCTCCAGAAGGATGCATTTCACATCACTGTGACAACAACTGCAACCTCTGAAAAACAGCCAGGATTTCTCTCGGTCAGGAAGCTGGGCCTGAAGTGGGCTATGATGAGTCAAGGCCAAATGGTGTGGCTAAAGGACACCACCACTCCCAAAATCAGCCGTGGGGAAGTGAGGCGATTTCTTGCCCGGCTGAAATTTGTTGCCTTTCCTCAGAAGGTGAGATTGTGCAGGAATCCCTAATGAAATCCAGGACTTTGAAAACAGCTGATCTCTTCCCCATGGATACAGTTAGGTGCTTTTTGGGATGCAAAGAGTCTGTTTGGAAGATGACTGGCTGCCCCCATAAGCTAGACAGATTTTGAGGCCCAGCTGTAGTTTGGCAGTTGGACAAGGAGAGGGATCTTAGAAAGAAGCAGGGATGATGATCATAAGGGACTGACAGACTCACAGAAGGAACACAGGGGTGGGACAGAGATGACTTGTTTTGACATGGGCAAACAAGGGTCCTGCATATAGTGGGGCCCATGTTCAGTTGCTGACTTGTGAATTAGCATTTTTCTCTACCAGACTGGATGATAATAGGTTTTGGCTTTAGTTTTTGTTTGCCTTTCCTCTCCAGCTCTAGCCTGGTGGTTCCTCAGATTTTGGTTGGACCTGTGGCCTCTATGGGGAATACAGGAAGCTGCTCTGTGAATCTTCAGGAAAACTGCTGTGTAGAGGGAACGGAGGCTAAAAGCACTTCCCCTTTCTTCAGCTCTTTGGGGAAAGCTACTGGAGGCAGGTTTGTCGTAGGTGGACCTGTCCTGTACCAGAGGAACCTTGTTCAGCGTCTCCCCCTCCATATGTCGTTCTTGCATGCTTCCCTCCAGGTAACAAGGAAATGTGAATTTAGAATTTATATACATACATACATATATATATATAAAAAAAAAGCCAAGTTTCTTTATATATATATATATATGTATCAATTTATACAATATATGTATATTTTTTTGTATGTTTAATTTATGAATGAGATTTAGGACACTCCTTTTTATGTCCAAACAGTATTCCCAGGCAGTCAAACAAGCTCTAAGCCTAGAGCGAGCCATGATGACTCAAGGCAAATGGTGTGGCTAAAGGACACCACCTGCTGCTTTAATCTTTATATTTTTGGAGAGAAGCCTCTGTCTAGCTCCTGCAGGGTTAGTCTTGTCCACAACCTTTCCTGTACTCTCAGCCCTCTTTTCCGTTCTGTCACCAAACTCACAAACAAACTAGCTCTCTGGCTGAATTACCTTATCTAGAGAAAGATGATCCCCACAGTATTTGCCAGTTCTTGCACTTGTATATTTCTTTTCCCAGTCCCATGTTCAAGACAGGTTCATGTGGGTGATGTAGAAGCGAAAGGTTCACGTCTTATTTCTGTCTCCTCTTCATCCATCCCTAAGCTTTTTATGAACCCAAATTATCACTGTAACATCACACTGCAGTCCAGTGAGCTGAGTCCCCCTTTGCAATGCACCACAGCCCTTTTGGGATAGATTGCCAGCAGATCCCCACTGGCACTGTAAAGATCACACTAGATCCAGCCACAGCAAAGCTGATTCTCACACCACAGCTTCAGGGTTTCACCTCTGCTCAGGCAGAGGCAACGCTGGAAAGCTTTTCTCTGCATTTTACCCCTATTCTGAGCTCAACTTTACCATTCCCTTGCCAGCCCAGACCTGTGTGCAGTTCCAGGAGGAATGGACTACCCTTGGAGCACATTTGCTCTCAGTATGTTCAGTATGTTTAGTGCTTTGAACTATGCCTCTGCGTGTGCCATCAGTCTCCTGTGTTGTAGTTGCAGAGCATCTGCATTAATTTTCTTGTAATAGAAATGACCGTATATAAACTAAGCACTTTGGTGCCCCAGCAGCTCCCCACGGTGCAGGGCAAAAACATAGGAACTGTTTTCCCAGTATGCCTTTCTAGATCTGAGCTTTGACATTAGGCAAAGCCAGGCTAAGGTGAGGATTGCAAAGGACTCTTCTGTCCTGCTGCTGGCACGTGGCCTTCCAGCCTCCCCGCACTTCCCTGTGAGTGGTGAGGTGCTGGCAGGACTTTGACCCTCCCTCCAGATGGACACATCTACCATGGGTTTGCTCTCCTGGGCTCTTGACACTTCTCACTGTATTGCACTCTCTCTTCCCTGCATCTCCATATAAAGCTTCCAGGATAGCCCTTCAGGATTAGCTGCCAGCCCCAAGGCTGGTCCTTGGGCCCCGCTCTCTTAATGTCAGAGCCTGTGAAGAGTTTGTATAATGGTATTTTGGTGTAAATAGCTTTGTATATATTAGCACAACTGTAGCAATGGCCCTAGGCCTGACATTTTCCTCCAGACAGGGGTTAAAGTTTATAATATATAGTCAGTTGATACAGCTGCATAATAGGGACTGAAAGCGTGAGGACTCATAACATATGAAGATTAAACAGGAGTGCCCCTTCTCTCCTGTCTAGCCACCACCTTGCTGGGAAAGGTGAAGCGGCTGTTACCTGAAGTAGTTATTCTCCTGAGGTTCTTCCTGAGAGAACTGATATTCAAGTGCAGTGACGTTAGCTCCTCCATAATGTGAATTCACCCTGCCCGCACACACACACATCCCCGCTGTGAATAAAGAGTCTGTCTGTATATTGTTGGGAAAATGTATTTGAACTGTGAACTGCAATGGAGCAAATAAATACTGTGTACAGCATCAGTGTGTCATGTGAACCAGTGTTTTACCTTTGAGACATTATGAGTTTGCTTGATTTGGGGATTGTTTGTGATATTTTTACAATGGGGAAAGGGGGACAGATGAAGAGCAACAAAGAAAAAAGCAAAAGCCCAGCCAAGGATTCTTAAAGCTTGTAGAGAAGCACAGTAGAAAGAGACAGACAGGAAAGTACCTCAGAATGGGAGATTTTTGGGGAAAAAGCAAGAAGGGAGCATGCGGGAGTCATTACAGATAGGAAAGAGGAGGAGATTTCTGAAAGCAACCCCCCATTCCTACTGCAGCAGCAATTTTAATCTGGGTGCAGGGCGAAGAGGCGTTTGGGCCTGGAAATGAGGAATAAATAGGGTGTTCAGGGAGGATTACAGCCAATCAATGAGAGCAGCAATGCCCTTTGCTGTAGCACTGAACCAGGAGGGTTGCTGGAAGGTCAATGTGACACCACCCAAAGAGCCCAGCACTGCAATTTGCCAGCTGGATGGTGCTGACTATCTATTCCTGGGTGCAATACTGCTGGGATTAGGACATCTGCCTCAAGTCTGTCTGAGAGCTTGGAGACAGCTGGCACCAACAACAACATCGTTCCAGTTTCACCCTTCCCAGCTGAAGACATCTGTCAAACTGTGATCAGGGAGGACCCACCCTGCTGCTGTTGGCACTGCTGTTGCCCTGGCCCAGTGCCTACCTTCTCACTCCCCGAAAGGTAGAGGAAGGAAGGGCTCCCCAAGAACTTGCTAACAGTGGTGCTAGTGGTTGGTTCAGAGCTCTTGTGCCTCCCAAACCCCACTGCTCTGTCTCTGCGCACATCCCTAACAGCGATCTTCCCCAATTGTCTGTCCCAAGACTTCATCCAGCTCCAGCTCTGCTTCCCGCTGTAGCATTTTCTGCTGCAGCTCAGAGTAGAAGTCGACTCCCTCAGAGACTGAATGGAGGGGCTTGTCCTGGGGCTTGTAGTAGCTGCTTATTTGCTGCTGTATGAAGTACTGGTGGTACTGAGGCTGATCCTTGAAGCTCCCATCATGGCCCTTGACATGGTTCCTTTTGAACTCCAGCACAGTCTTGGTGTAGGTGTTGAGAGTGGTGACAGCAGAGGCCATGCAGCAGGTGAAGGAGGCCCAGGCCATGCTACAGGAGAGACGCAAGAATAGCATGTGCTGTGAGAAGACAAGTGGGGTAAGGAGTTGAACTGCATGCATCGTGATGCACTCTGATTTGCCAGGCAGAAGCTGCTGGGCATTGGATGTGAACTAAGACTCATAACATTACAGTTCTTAGGGGTTATCCCACCACAGGATCCTTCTTTGATCAGTGGGGTAAATACTGGTCATCCTTGTCACCAGGAAGGGCACAGGGAAAATAAAAAGAGCAGCAGGAAAGTCTGTAACAGGTCAGAGCAGGACAGTGCAGCTTGCAAGCAAGTTCTGTATTGCAGGGCTGCTCAGTGTCTTCCTGGACATGAGATATCTCTACTTCAGCATAACCAGATGCCCATGCTGACATTTGATGTCCACGATGGGCACATGGCACTGGAGTGTTTAAGTGTAAAGAAGCAATGTGGTCACCATCAGTACAGCATTGCAAATTGAGCCTGCACTTTCCATGGGCACCTGCAAGGCTCATCCAACTGTTTTTCAAGTCAGCATATCAGCTGCAGCTGGTTTATTTAGCCTTTCGAGAAATGAACGCTGAGCCACCTGCTTTTTGCAGCTGCTCTTCCTGGCTACAGTGTCCACATCTTTAAGCATGTGTCTAGGCTTGATGCAGCAGGGATAGGCCCTTTAGACACTGGTTAGTGAAGATGCCAAAGCAGCATTGCAACTTAAACTGCAGAAAAACAAGGCATGTTTGAGAGCATCATCACAGGTATGACACTGGCCTCCGCACACAAGGAAGAACTGAGACTAAACAGGGAAAACCAGCATAGTGGCAAACTTAATTAGTCAGCAGGGTTGAAGGCACTCATTTAGGTGTCACCCCATTGTTTTGCAAGTCCTTGGTAGCTACTCATTTAAGTAATTCAGAAAACATTTGTTAAAGCAGGGCATGAGGCAAAGAGAGGAGATTATCAGTAGGAGAACTGTGGTACACTCAACTTTGGAAACAAGAAGGTCAAGAAGGGAGAAGGTGGGTTTTGACAGGGTGTAGCATGGCTGAAGCCCAAAAGGCTGGGGAGGTGAATTTGGCTTCAGAGCTCACGTACTAGAACGCCCAGCCATAGTCCCACGAGTGTGGTCTCCAGTCCTCTGGTCCCAGATTAACTGTTGCCTGGAAGACTTGAGTGTACATCATGTGTGCCACCATCCCAAGGAGACCTGGACACAAGAAGACAACAAAGCAAGGAAGTCACAGCAGGTGCCAGAGCTATATACTTCAGCCTCGTGTGGGAGAGGAGGCTCTCCTGCTGCTGTGATTTCAAACCTGCAGTAATACACTTACCTGACAGCACTGAGGAGACAGCAGCAAAGGCATTAAGCTTCAACCCACAGACAGGATTGCCAGTATGCAGCATTTCCACCATCAGGAGGATGAAGCTGATGAGCAGCAAGCTGATGTACAGCATCTCTGATCCCAGTGACAGCCACAGGATTCCTGCCAGGAACCAAAGACTCCTCACATCAATACAGCATGGCTTGTTCAAGGGATAGTACTCCCTCTTCCCAACCCAGTCCTGAAAGGATTCCCCATGGAAAGAAGGGAAAGAAGGAAAACAACAAATCCCCCCAACCTGTGAGCAATGGCTCAAAGGATGCCGAAGGGGACAAAGGATCTGTCACAGAAGATGGCTTTGCTTGTCTAGCGTGGAAAAAGCTGAGAGGAACTAAAACAGCTGTCTGCAAACAAGCCAGCATTATTCATAAACAGCAAGGAGGAAGCCATGGGGAAAAAGACAGGGAGAAAGCTGTTAAGTATTAGCACAAGACCTAGTGGTCATAGGTTGGCCACAAACACATACAAGCTGGACGTTAGAAGGTTCTTACCCATTAGTGTAGTGGCCTTCAGAGTAAGTTTCTAATCACAACAATGGAAGCAAGTTAATTTTAACCTGGGACTTAACTGGTTAAGAAAAGAGCTCTATGGTGCATCCGCAGCAGTGGCTGGGACCTGGCCTCTGGAATTCAGGAGGCCCCTTGCAGGCCTGTGTTTCTCACTGAAACCTTAATTAAAATGAACTACATTCCTTGGGGTGGATATTCACCGCTCACCCTGCTGCTTGAACCGAGTGCAGGTACTTTCATGCTGGGATTATCAGTGGGACTTAAGTGATACCACAGTCCTCAGCTGAGCTCACTGTGTGGTAGGACTTGGAGGAGAATGAGAAAAGGCACTCTGTAATCCTGGGCTGTGGAAGAGCACAGGATTCATTGAGGAAGAAATATTAATCTGACAAATGAAGCAGCACTGTGAACACTACTGTTAGCAACTACTAATGGCTGTAGAGGAGACATTCAACTGGGGAAAAGGAGTGTGAAGAAAACCCTCATTAATGCTGCACTGACAACTCCTCAATGTGATAATTGCCATAGAGTCACCCAGCTCTTTAGCAGGAATTGATGAGCTGCAATTCCCTGCTTAGAGGAGCTGGCTTGCTTGCTGCAGCACCATCAAGGAGACTATTTTGTTAGAGGTCAGAGTGCCAAAAGTGTCCTGGAGGCTGAAGGCACCCCACATGTGGAGAGGTCTCTGCATCGCTCTCCCGGCGAGTCCAGGCGTACCACGCATGCTGTATAGCCTGGTCTCGTAATGCTGACTGTGTAACATGGAGCTGCTCTGCATGCACCCAGCTCAGCCAGCCCAGCCGGCAATCAGCAGCCACGCCACCTCCTCCAGTGCTGGCCCAGCTGTATACTGGCAGCTGTGCTGGAGGCCAAGGTCATCTTAAGACGATACTATGTACAGGATGGGGTGAAAGCAGGTGGTAGAGCTGTTAAGACCACAGTGTCATTGTGAGTGTCATGCTTAAGCTCACAGTAATCTTCCGATTAATTTGTAGGAGCTCAATCTCCTACAGGACATGGCCTTTCTATCAGTGTTGGGCTGCAGTTAGACAAGGAGCAGTAGGAGGAGTGTGAGGGGGGGCAGAGAGAGAGATTTACAGAGACACATACTGTGGTTGCATAACCCTCCTTTCTTAGGAAAACAAGCAATAAGGGAGACACTGGAAGCAATAGAGCCAGAGGCCTGGGCAGGGAACAAAGCACAAGCATGTGAGAAAGCAGGAAAATGAGTTGCTACTCCCTACAAAGTGAGCATTTTTCCGTAAATGCAGGAGTCATTCAGTAAATGCAGTTAAGTCAGTCATTCATTTATGAGAAAGTGGAGATCTGAATGACTTCAAAATGGTCTTGTAACACCAGCATTATTTGAATTGTGTAAATATTGTTTCCCAAAAGAATAAGCAGGGAAGGTTTTCTAACCCCGCTGTTGTGCTGAAGAGTGACCCAGGTTAATCTGCACAGCGATGCCACCACACGACATCCCTCACCTGGGAATGCACATTGCTTTATAAAAGCAGGTCATCATTCTTTGCCAGTGTTTTTAAAATAGGGCATACAAAGCAGAAAAAGAAGATGAGCTCCCCAAAAGTAATCATCTCCCTGCTGGCTGTTGCAATTCCCCAGCATTTGTTCCAGCTCTCATGGCTTGAATGCTGACACAAACTCTGCACCCCAGGCCTTTCCTTTCACATATGAACATCCTCTGAAATGAAATGCGTCCAGCCTCTATCTCAGGGAATAGTTACCAAGCTCACAGAAACTGAAAAGCTTTCAGTAGGCAAAATTTCCATTGAATATGCACACTTACATCCAGGTATACTGCAGTTATCCCCAGGATAAGTTACAACATGACAATGAGGGGTGAGCTCTCCAACCCAAATTAAGTTTTGTATTTGATGAGGCAAGGACTTCACCCTGGAGGTGTAACATTCAGATGTCCTGATCACTTACCACAAAGTAAGAGTTGATTCAGCTTCCTGAGTCATCACACTAGACCCCAAAACTGAAGCACTGAGTCAACATGTAGCATATGTGGAAGGTGGCATCCATACCCTTCCTGATGACTATAGCAAGATGAGAAGCTCAGACTGGGCAAGTTATTAAATGAGACAAATCCCACTTCTTATGGGAGGAGGTCTGAGGTTTACAGCACTGACCTCACAGGTGGCAGTGGTTTAGGCAAACATCTGGGAAGAAATCTTTGCTCTTTTGGCAACCACGAGGCCAGGATTTCATGCCTGGCTCTTTGGGGACCCACCCTCCTGTCCTCACACAGGTGAAATGTTGTAGGTCCCCCATTGAGCAGCTACAGTGAGGTATGGGGATTTGCTCTTACCTCTCTCTGCTGGTGGCGAGAGCTCGATAAAGCTACGGCATTTCTCTTCTGAAACACAAAACCAAGGGTATTAGTTTGCAAAACAATGCAGGGTACATAAGGGAAAAGAAATTCTCCCCGTCTCACTCTCTCTTCACTGCATAGCTCCAGTCCTCTCTGACTCTACCCATCATTACCTTCTCCCCTCTGCTCTCTCTCTGACCATCTTCCCAGACCTTCAGTGGGGCAAAGTAGGGGAAAGCAATGTCTGCCTGGAAAACTAGAAGTGTATTTTCTGGAAAAAAACATCAGCAATTTGTAAATCTTACGAGCCTCTGGTGAATATAAAAATCTGTTGCTAGTCATTCACAGAATTACTGTTGGTCAGGCCTATTAAGGGTGTAGCTTATAACAGGCTGCAGACCCATCACTTCTGCTGAGGACATGAATTCCCACTCACCCCAGTCTCAGCAGAGCAGTTCTAGCACCGCTTCCCAAAGAAGAAAGGAAAAAACAACCCCAAACTTCCCAAGTGAAATGCTGCATGACTGAGATGTGAGTTCCTCTCCTGTGGCAGAGAACCACACAGAAATATGGTCTTCTGTCCTCACGTTTTAGGCATGCTATTTGGACAAATGGTGTTCATATTTGCTTTGTCTTTTTATGTTGGCCAGATGCAAACTATTGTCTCAGTTGAGGGTCCATCATTATTATCTCTAAGTCTCTTTTACTGCATAGTGCAATACTGCATTTGAGGGTCCTCTCCTCTACTTGGCACAGTATTTTCTCCCAGAAGTATCAGCCTGCCACTTTTCATGTAAGAGTCTCATTTTCTTAATTTCTATCCCCAGTTCTAATCTCTCCCAATCTCCTGTATTACTTCTGTCATCCACAGCTCTCAGGACGCTACCCAGTTTAGTGCCATCTGCAGTCCTCATTAACTTGTGGTTTGCTACTTCACCTAGAACTTTAATGAGGTTATTCAGTCAAGGCTCATCTAAACTGATCCTGAGATTAGCACGAATAATGAAATCCTTTCTCCAGCTCAGCTCAAACTCTTGTTGTTCATAGTAGCCCCCTTTTGTTGTTGTTTTCTCTGCACTTGCTTCAAAGACCCACAGCAGTGGGTGGCTTGTACTCAATTTACACAAAACAGGGGACTGAGATTGACTACGTGCTCTACCCTGTGCTCTGCTGTGATCCGGATGTAACGCATTCTCTGCGTTCCTTCAGGCACTGGGGTTATTCCAGGACTGCCTGGTGGCCAGACAAGTCTTCCAGGGAAAGCTGTCAAGGGATATAGTCCCATTCCCACAAGCACCATGAAAACACACCCCAATCCAAACCACTCCCAAATAAACACATTTCCTTCCACGGCTTGTGTGGAAATGCTCATAACGAAGCAGCCCTCACATAAGGCCATGAGAGTTTCAAGCACATTCCCTCCTGCTTCCATCCCCCTTCTGTCTGCTTTTATTCACCAGTCCTTTATTTTCACACTCTGACAGCAACAGATAAGAAAATGAGAAATGCTATACTAGAACGGCGGCCTAGTTAAAGAAGGTGAGACGTTTGTGCTTGGGGAGGGCTGAAGGGAGGGCGGTGGGCTCAGAGGAACGGACCTGATGAAAGCAACTTTCATCAGCGCATGTATCTTCAGATACAAATCTCCCTGCTGGCCACCTTGCGGGTCAGTTCTGATCCTTGATGTATGTGCCAGGCCGTAAAGAGCATCTCGGCACTGCAGAGCGTCCACCCGTGCTGGCGTGGCACGGGTTTCAGCAGCAGGACTTCAGCAGGGCTGGGCAGGAGCAAGCCAAGGGTGAAGGGAGGCACCAAAGGGGTCTAGGACAGGCTGCAGGACCAGCCCCTGGCACTCCAGGGTTTACAGTGCCAGTCCCACATGGTCAAAAATCACAAGTGAAACGGGTCACAATATCATAAAAACAACGGAAAACATTACAGTGAAAACACTGCAGCTCTAATCCTCAGGTCAATTTGCCTCCTAGCTTTAGTTCCTCTAGGTTCAGATCCTCCACGTTTTCTCTGTATCTATAAGGCAGTACTTCTCTTTCTGTCTTTTTTTTTTTTTTTTTTAAGGAAAGGCCAGTCCCTGTTCAATTCACAAAAACTCTCAGTTTGGTGATTTAAGGAGAACACCAACTATTGTGGTCCTCACAGTGATAACCATAAATTGACAACACTGCATAAAAAATCACCCCACTTAGATTTCTGAGGGGACATGCACAAATGTGCCCTGGAGAGCATGAAGGAAGCTGCATGTAGGAATGGAGATATGCAGCAAGGGAAAGGAGGCTCACTCCAGTTCTCATCAGGATGAATGATGCCATCACAAAGTCACTGCTGCCACCACCACCACTTGCACTTCACAGCCCCTCTTGCAGACTGAAGGGCACACCAGAGACAACCATTCTCCCTTGCCCCTCTCTGCAAACATCTCAATGAAGAATGAGACAAGAATATGACCACAGCAGTGCACGGGGCCGATGCCATCTAGGAAAATGAAGAAGGCTTTTCTCCCAAGTGTTGTCAGCCTCCCGCCTTTCATTTCCAAAATCCTGTGGAATAAATACAAGGGAAGAAGTTGTGGCTGCCTGGGCAAGACGCTACCTGGCCCATCCATGCTCTCTTCACAGGAAAGCCACATCCCCGTGTGGAAGTATCTGAAGGAAAAGCGGTCATCCCCGGTCTCCCAGCTGTAGTGCACCACATCCTGGGATGAAACATTGCTAGCACCTGCGTCAGGCGGCACGGGGACACCGATGCAGTTGGTGTCTTTGCTCTTCCCACACAAAGGCTTGGGCACTTTCTGGGTCCCGGTACACCAGTAGCTGCCGAGCAAGGCAGTGGTGGAGAGGCTGAGAGCCAGCAGGTTCAGGGTGACAGCCAGGAAAGCACGGCGCCACGGCAATCCCTTCAGCAGCTCCATCTACAACACACAAATGGGAGGGACTGTCACACCAGCCACTTGTCCCACCTAGCCTTACAAATCTCAGCTGTTCCCAGCACACTCCTGTGGGGAGGGCATATGAGCACTCTGCCCTCCTCACAACAGCCCAACAGCTCACCCAGCATGGAAGAACCATTTTTTGAAAGCCAGGGCAGTGGAGCAATAGGTCAGCTTCAACCGTTTCAAAGTACACTGAATATCTGTACTGGGGAAGAGAGGGTAGACCAGTAGACACAGCAGGGCTGAGTGCACTGGAGTTCCTGAGCACATGAGCAAAATGAAAGGGACATCATATTCACCCCATCTCAGAGACAGTAGGGAAAAGCTCTTAACCAACCTCCCCAAATCCTGTGTGTTGCCTTTAGATGGGGCATGATGGATGCACTGTCCATCTAAATGAGAATTCTTGCTGCCAAGTGTCCCAAAACACTTCCTCAAGCAGTTCATTAGTTTACCTGGGGAGGTAGGAAGTGTATTGATTTCACAGTGGTGAAAGGCAGGGAAATGTTCCTGGATCACTGAAGGTCACACATCAAAGCAGTGACCTGCTGAGAAGGGACACCCACCTATCCAGACCTGGCAGCTTGAGCTCAAGCCCCAGAGCAGCTCCTCCCACCTGAGCAAACACTGCTCTGCACATCAGAAATTTCGTTGGGTAGTGGGATGACAGTGTCTCTGCTCTCACACAAAGTGCCAAACGTGTGGGTTTTTTTAAGAGCGAACATTGCCACAAACATTCTCCCCAGTTTCATCTCATCAGAAAAAGTAATTCAGAGAGCAGTTTGTGTACTAGGGTCCTGTAGTCTTTCTCACTCAGAGAGAAGCTTAAGATTTTTTGTGTCTTGCAAAACCCTGCACTGACTTCTGAGAACCCCAACTTATCACTCCATGGATTGATTAGATGTCATCTACCCACACATCAACTTTCATGTAATCAACGCATGCCTCTTCCCACATGGCACTCCCTATGTTTGGCACAACTTCATCCAGATACTCCCACCCTTTCCTATTTATGACTCTCAACATCTATTTGGCCACGAAGAGATTCAGTTTGTACAGACATTGCCTGCTGCTGGTCCTCTTCGCATAAATTCGGTTGACTCACCTAACATTGAATGTGTGAGAAAGGCCCAGCACACTGTGGACACTACTATAAATAAATGATAGGAGACTGAGCTTTGGATTGTTTGTGACTGCACCATAGACAAAACTGCTGCAATTAGAAGCATTTGCTCTGCTAACCAGCAAGCTCGGTAATGTGGTCAATAAAGATGGTGCTGAAGCTCCTCTTGGAAGGCAGGACTTGATTAGCAACTCATCACCCTGAGTGATGAGAAAACAGCGCCTGATTCAGAAACCCTCACTGAAGGCAAGAAAATACCCAGCTCCCGAAAAATTCCTCTGTTGTCTTATGCTCTGCCTTCTTTTTTCTCTTCCCCAGAGCATTCCTTTCTTTCAGCAGTGGAGATGCTGCACCCTGTAGATGGTAATGTTTCAGTGATACCATAACTAATGACTTCCATGTTCTGAAGGCATGTTGGATATCACCATCTTCACAGAGCAGATACTTGCTAGGAACACTTAATTATGTGAAGGTTTCAGGCTAAGGTTGGTGGCACATTCCTCACTGAAAGTTCTTTCAGTGGAAAATTTGGAAAATTTGGCTTATGACTGAAAAGGAAATTATAGATAAAATTGCTCTCCTCAAAACCATTATTTTTCATCTGAAAATAGAAACCTTCAGCACACAAAGTCAGTATTTCATCAATGCTTGATTATAAGATTTTCTGTCATCAGGTTTCAGTTTGCTCATGCTTTTATTTAAAAAAAATCTTTCCACTCATAATATTGACAAAAATAATTTTTTGAATTTCAATCTTCAATAGTAGGAAAAATATTCTCTCCGGCTGATTTGTGATAGTAGTTGAAAGGCCATATAATTTCAGAACAAATGACAAGGAAAAAGGCAAAAAAATATAAAAAACAAAGGAGTCAGAAGAAGGAACTGGATCAAGGATGCAGAGGACATAGGGAATGAGAAGCAAATCTGAACTACTCCTTCATGAGAACATTGTCAGCAAAATTTCGCTCCATAAAAGCCAAGCACTTACTGACAATAACTGACCATAGTATCTAGATAGCCCCAGAAGGAAAGTAAGTTGAATTTACCTTGGCAGCAAGTCCTCAAAGTCCTGTTAATTTGGAGAAGCAATACAGATATGGGACTCACGCTTTGTCTGCTGTTTTGCTCATCTCTAGATCCTCCAAGAAAGCCAACTGCTTCAAAGCCCCTTTCTCCTTTGTCTCCTCCCCTCCTGCCTTGCCCCCCCCAGCGATTATTAAATGCTATCCCTCCAGCCAGCAGCTGTTTTGTGGAAAACGGTCATTTTGTAATCCACAATGCAATCACAGCACAGCTGTTCTGGGAGATTATACAGGAAGAGATTGGTGCTGGGATTAAGAGCAGAAGGGTGACCTGTATTGACTGAGTTTCCGTAAAACACAGGAAGGTCCCAGCCATCTCCATGCGGCGGCTGTTTGGGAGCGTGTATGGGGCGAGCCGGCAGCTCTCTGGCCAGTGCTTCAGGGGTCGAGTGACCTTAGCTCAGAAACCACCAGCACCCTTGGCGTCAGGTCACCTCTTGCCCTGTGCACTGTCTCAGCAGAATGGCAAAGGCCACAAGCCCCCCAGCCCTGGGGTATCCTCCTGGCCAGACCTGCCAGTCACAGAAAGAGGAGAAGAAAAAAATGGGGAGAGGGAAAGTTTACGTGACTGTACCTGCTCTGAGGACTGAGGATTTCAGACCCCGAAGAGATGCCAGTCCAGCCCTCCCCGTGGGCACCGGCGATTGTAATGACAACAGGAGCCCCTCAGCAGAAGCCTGCTGAGTGGCATCACCACCGTGACAGAGGTATGTGAAACAGTGACGAGTCAAAGAAGTCCAGTACTCAAAGGGTGGGAGCACGGGGAAGACTGACTGTCAGTGTCCCTCGTAGTGGCAGCTTTTACCAAGGTGCGAAGTTCACCAGGAATCCCAGCTCCCAGCAGCTTCACGTCGGATGAATTTGGGAAGCTAGTAAGGAGAGAGAAAAAAACGCACTTGCCCTGAGCTCCTGTCCTGAAAGTTTAAAGGCCCCACACAGCACCTGAGGGTGTTGATACACCTTGTTGGACAGTAGAATAGTGAAAAATAAGAACGGCATCACCTCTCAAGAGATCAAACTGTCACTAGAGGGCATGGAGCAGTGCTGCGTTGAGTCAAGCTGCAAGGAAGAGGAGCACCCCAAAGGCGTGTACCCCACCTTGCCCACAAGGGCTTTGCCCAGCGCCAAGCGGGTGAGGCTGCCACGACCGCTGGGAGGGAGCAAGGCCGATCCCCTGCACGCCCGCCACGCTGCTCTGCTGGGGCAGAGGAAGCCGGTGGTCCACCGGCTCCCACCCCCGGCGTCCAACACCAGAGCCCGGCGGCTGGGAGGCGGCTGTGCGAACAGCTCTGGGTGACGGCACAGCCCGTGGCAGCCCCTGCGCTGTACAGGCAGCGGACGGAGCCAACAGGTTCACGGTCCCGTAGGTGGGCTGTGCTGTCAGGGGCTGCCGACCTTTCCTGCCCTGAGCAGAACAGTCGCTGGTTCTGTGGTTACTTTAATCCTAGTCGCTGCGTAAGCTCCTCTAATATAGATAATCATTTCTAAGACAGGCTAAGTGAAAGCAATGCTAAATGTTTCCGTGCTCCATGGACTGTCTGCAGGTTTTTTGATTAATACAAAGGTTCTTTTTGACACAGATGTACTTAATTTACTGAAAAAGGTAGAATAACAGCTGATGCTGTTTAAAAGGAGAGTGGTAATTTTTTTTTTTTTTCATTGTTCAGTCTCTCCACATCTGGACACCTTACGTTTGGCTTCTAAATGCTCGGTAAAAAAAAGCCTGGTTTTCAGACTCAAGGATAGATAGAGTCCATCTCGCTACTGATAACCCTTAATGTTAACATGTTCCTAATTTTAAGCTTGATGAGAGTCTCATTAAAATCCAGGATGCTATGTCAGTTTCTGAAGCTGGGATCATGGCATATATATTGATGAAATGAGACTGAATTAGATTTGTATGGATAAGAATTCAAATTTTAAAATAAATTCATCAGAAATATGCTACGGTTTCAAAAATATACTTGTATCGGATTTAATATTCTGAATAATGGCAGATATTTATCCTTCCAGAAGATGGCAATCTCTCCCTAGTCTTCCTTTTGGGAGTGTCTGTTGCTCACGTGTGTGCTGGGGGGAAGCAACACCCAACTTTAGACTTCTGTTCCTTCGCTTTGTGTTTTCCCCCTCTATCTTTCTCTTTTTTTCCATTTCTATGAACTCAACCTGTTTACCTCACCTGGGGATATGGTGGGTTTGAGTTATCTTTGAGTTATCTGAGCCTGGGGAGACTTCTGAAATCATTGGGGAAAGAAGAAAAGAGGAATGAATGGAGGAACTTAGCAGGGCATTTGCTCCACCTTCTGCCCTGCACAGAACTATTCTTTCTAATACATTTTCCAATATTTCTTCAAGTACCATATTAACTTTCTCTGCATGTTCCCATCCCCAGATTATTGCACACAGCTCATAGAACACCAGTGCACATTTCCTGATGTTCAACAAACTTCTCTTAGCAAAATTTTTTTTTTTTTTTTTTAAAATCTCCATTCCAACCTCGCCTTAATCTGACCAGTTATGGACAGGAAAACCAAGCTGTATCTGCCTTTCACTCTACTGTGCCTTCCAGTTTTCTCCTCTTTGTATCTGACATTTCCCACCATAACTTGACTTGGCTAGAGGTTTTGGATATCTCCTTCTCTTTGAACTCAGCAGCAGCCGGTCCCTGGTGACTTGTTTAAAGTTCACCCATTGAAGTGAATGCCCACAGCAGTTGATTTCCTGCGCAATCAGCCAAGTGCTTGGCTTATAGAAACAAAACAAGGAAACGAATGCAAAACACAATCTTAGCACAACACCTTTACGGAGATTGTCAACCCTAAAAAAGCCCAGGCGTTTACAAGCGATGCATTGATTCTGTGATTCTGTGATTTTTGTCCTGGCTGTATCACATACATACTTAAGGTGTATCCTGCCCCAAAGTGACACCCTCAACTCCCAAGGATGTTGGTGGAAAAGAAGAGCGAGGAGCCCTTGCCAGATAGGGCCCCAAAATTGCAATACTTAACTGGCAGGTCTCAAGAGGCGCACGGCTCTTCATAGCTCTCCTCCCCGGGGATATCAGGGACCAGACACCGTCCTGACATTGGCTCTTCAGCTGCCCTGAAAAGAGAGGAGGAAGA